GAAACATTGCGCATGTAACCAATTTTTGGGGTAAAATTGTTCAGTGGTTCTTCCTGCATTCAACCGCAATGATTTGCAGTTTGAAGGTTGGGGCAAATTTCTGATTGGTCAATCTGGTAGTTTGGGCGACTTCTGATCGGTTAACGCCGCGCATATCCACCAGATTGCTTCACCTTGTATCTTTACACCATGGTGCGCACTAGTGCAAGTAACCGAATTCGCTATCCCGAGTCGAAATTTTCGCCCTACGTTGAACCATTTCTATTATATATAGTAGGACCTGAGACAGTAAAAGAGGTCGAACTGCAAGAAATTTACTCCTACTTCAAAACTGACAGTGTCGGAAATTTCTGCTTTTGCCAATTTAGCATTAAAGTAGGTCCTTTCAAGCAGGAGCTAAAGTAAATTTTGAGAATTAAAAATTCAAGGGAGAAATAACCAATATAATGTCATCAAAGTTATTTGGTGTATAGATCAAATAACTTTGATGACATTATATTGGTTATTTCTCCCTTGAATCTTTAATTCTCAGAATTTACTTTAGCTCCTACTTGAAAGGACCTACTTTAATATAGATCAGCTACGTAGGTGCAAATTATCCTTAAAAGTGTCAAAATGGTACCAAAGTTTCGACTCGGGATAACTTCAATTCCAGCGTAGCTGCGGTCCCCGCGAAGAATTTGCGTGACGTGGCAAGACGCGCGCAGGGACGGTTTAATTATCATCTTTCGAATGCAGAAAATGACAATTAAAATTCCTTTACAAATTAAAACTCGATAATAATACGTTTCTCCATAATTGCATCGAACGCCAGTCTATTTGTTGAAAAACGAGTATACCATCCGGTGCGCGTATAATGAACCCTACTTGGATTACGCTAACCCGCTCCTCTACCTGTATAATCGATTTGGAAATCAAAGATTTTGATTTATCGACCCTCCGTTTGCCGCGTGCGCGATGCAATTAAGTACATTACTCGAGCTCGAGAGCGTCCGCGCTGCGGCGCAACGCAACGCAACGCAACGGCACGCGCGTTCGATCCCGGCGTAATTGGTGTAGCGTGAGAGCTAAGAGACGCAACGAGCCAGGTGTATCTCACGTTTAAGCGTGATGTAATCGGACCGCGGCGGCGCTTGACGCGAACGACGACGGCCGTGGACGGGAACGAGAGTTCGTCCGATGCTGGCGAGTGAGTGAACTGACGAAGAAGAGGGACGCTTCTCCCGCGTGTGTTCGCGCTTTAACAGCGTCGATGACGCAGAAACGTGCGACACGCGAGTCGAGAATATTCCCCCCCCCCCGAGAATCCGATTCGCATTCACGATTTTTACCTATAAGTCGTGAGATTTTAGTCCTGCGTTTTTCCCCACCGATTAGTTTCCCGCGTGTCGCCCTCGCAATTTACGCGGCGCGAATTCAAATCTCGCGGAGCGCTCGGCACCGAGCGGGCAAAGATTTAGCAAGGAGTGAAACGGGAGATTCGGGAAGAGTTGAAACTAACAGAATCTCACGTCACACCCAGAAAAAAAGATTTATTTAGGTGAAACAAATGAGATAGGTTGAAATCTCATGTTTCTTTGTGTCTGCTAAACTTTTCTTTACTTGTACTAAAATATTTGCTAGATGTGAAGAAACAGATATGTGAATTCTCTTAGAGATTCCAGCCTTAATAAAATAAAATTTTGGTTAAGGCGATGAAATCGTTTCTTTGAAATTGAATAAAAAAGTAGTAAGGTCAAAATTCCAAGAAAATTTGTATTTCGTAGAAACTTTCTCTGGCCGTACGAGTAGATATTTCGAGACTCGGAATGTAGGTACTTATTCGAACTCGTCGCGCGTGAATTGATTAGCGTTTGCCATTTTGCCGTTTTCTTTCTCCAAGCTTTTTGCAGTCTCGCGGCGTTTAGCGAGATTTATCGGGAGGGCGGGTACATGCAAGGGTGTGAGGAACGCGTTTACCGCAGCACCGTATAGCACACCGCTATTACACCGCGAAATTTTGCTAGCCTTTCACCACATCCCGCAACTATTTGTCAACGAAGTGAGATAGGATATAAAATGGAAAAACACCGGCGGAGAATAAACATTAATACTTGAAAGATTATGCACATTAACATAATAGAAATAATATTTCGCCTCTTTCTCCATGCGCGAATTAATTTTACCCGCGCATCGAAAATACATTCTACATTATTTCCCCCTTCCCCCCCCCGCAATTTATTTTAATTCGATATTTTCCGCTCTCGCGCGACTCCCCTCAGCGCAGAATATTTTTTATTTTTTTTTTGCGAAACGCATGTAATTTCCCGCCGCGAAATCGCGATGATCGAATGCTCGGTGACGAAGCCGGAACAATTTAACGTTCGTTCGACAGCACGCAGCAGGGTGGCGAAATATATGCATGAGATCGTGGAGGACACCGGGAAAGGACCTTGCGGCTCCCATCGCGCCCCGTCAACTTCCATAAAGAGAACATATCAGACTTTCCGGCCGACTAATCATGAAAGATCGCGGGGACTTTCGGCCGGATTACCGAAGATCGGCCGACACGGCTGATCTGCGATTGTGATCGAGGGACGCTGCTAAGGCCGTCGATCGCCGCTCGCGGGACTGCTAGAAATCCGTCCTCGGCGATGGAATCCCGTGTGTCGCCGTCTGCGAAAACTCGCGGCGGCAGCGGCGAATGAGCGCGGAGAGGAGCGCAGCGCGCGAATTTGCATCGCGTTACTCGGCTTGCGCTTCCGCACCGCGGAATCTGTCCCGCGCGTAAGAGCAATCGATCTCCGAGCACGTGGCGTCGATCGCGTAACATGTTCGCCGACGTAAACGAGTCGAAACGATGGACGAGGGATAATAGGATCCTCCTGAGGTAATTCTTGATATTACGAGAGCGGAATGGCGGCGAATCACGCTTTACCTCTCAAATTCTCGCAGACGAGCGTACAATTTTTCTAGCTGCACCGATTACCGACTCGATCTATCGCTCTTATTTACCCAACATGCGTCATGAATTATTAATACCCGGTAAAAAATTTTTCAAGCACCATGCATTAAATATATAGTATTATATAAAATTATACGTGAAAAGTATGTCCATACATATTTTTACATTGCATACATATTTCTATATAATTCTATACAATTCTACACAGTTTTATATATTTTTTAATAGATTTATACATGCTTTTATATGAAAAAATTTTCAAGTGGAAAATTGCTTATTTATAATTATATGTATATAATTATAAATAAGTAATTTTGTACATAAAAAATTTGCATTGCATAGAAATATACCCATACGGCACTAAAAGACGTCTTTAAGACATCTTTAAGTCGTCTTTTAGATATGTATATCTAAAAGACGACTTAAAAATGTCTTTTAGACATGCATGCTGTATGGGTACAATGTATTATAAAAATATGTATGGACATATTTGATGTATATTTTTTATATTAGTCATTACTGTTCGGTTAATGTTACAGATATGTCCTCTCTCGTCTTTGACTACGATTTTCTATGCCTTTCTCTTTATGGTTGAAACCATGTGGAGACTCACGAGTGTTCAATCTTGAGATAGGAATTAATTTGATCGTGACGATTACACCGATTCCACGATAATTTTCCGTTTCACGCTCGCTATAATATTTTCTCTTTATCTCATCACTGAAGAAGACCCGAATATGGGTCGAAACGTTTGAATAAAAAGTACATTATTTTCCACGTTTAAACCACGCAGTGTGTTCCGCGCTTATTGGCTCACACTGAACTTCCCCCATCGATTCTTTATATTTTTATATAATTCTATACATTTATTCATATTCATGGTTCATGCATGAAAAATTTTTTACCGGTTATGTGCCTAATGACGTACAGATAAGCATATCTGGGGGCGAACGTGCGATTCAATATCGTGCTGATGAATCTACGTACCGCAATTTGAAGTATAGGTCACGAGATTGTTAATTTTGATATTATTATTTAAAGGTATAATATATTAGCTGCGATATTAATATACCTATACGTATTGATTTTTATTAATAGCATACAATATTAGTAACATTAAACTAATACATCACATAATTGTTATCAAACTGTGTTAACCTTTTTAATTTGACATTTTAGTATTCGACTTAAGGGTTAAATATTTAAAATTATCTCGAGAGCGATTATTTCCTGCCATTTTGCGAGCCATTTTAACATTTCTTGTCGGAAATATTACTTTCAGTGTACAAGACTCGTCTTGATAATATTATGAAATTATGGACACGAGGAAATAAACCGGGATATACGGACAGGCATTAATGAAACTCGTGCATGATGCATTAATTAAAGAGCGGTTATCTTGCAGTTTAATTTGCTCACATGTATGTACTATATATAGGTGTATATATATATAAAAGAAGAATATCGCCTCGATATTCATTGATAACATTCGGGTCAAAAGTCCATGAAGCATCTATCACGACTTCGTCGAATTTAACCCTACTCTCTCGTGATTGAAGACTCTCGATCACGAAAGTGTATTTCATTTGCCTCTGTTGCAACCTGTGAATTAACTCCGCTATAATTCTCCCCTATCGACGTTTGCGTAAGATAATTTTAGATACTTGCTCTGCACAGGGCAGCAGTTAATATTTAACGATATGAAAGAAAATTCCTTGCTCCAATCTGAAGTGAAACGAAAATGAGGTAGAATGTTGACACTTCAGAATTGCACATACATAGATACTGTACTTTATTACTTTAATCTTGGCGTTTATATTAAGAAAATTGTTTGAATATATCGCAGTATTAATTGCGGCGATATTTCACGTTGAGAATTAAAAACTATTCCAATAGATTATTTTCATAGAAAATCTTTGTCACGGATTTACATAAAAGAATCTGCCTTTAATATTTCGCAGAATAATTGCGAGTTATCTTATATAATAAAGGTATACCTCGCTGCGAAATTTTATTTTACGTAAGAAAAAATTAACTCAACGATTAATTTTTCTAGAGCTGCAAAGGATCTTGAGGAACGTCGCAGTCATTACGAGCCGTCGCTCCATACAGGAGTTCCCGATGACATCGATCATAGTTTCAAGATAGAAGAAAATGATTTCGTACCTCATTTTCAACGGGTCTCCATATCCGGCGAGGACACTTCCGGGGTGAGTCTTAGACTGTTAATTCTACCTGATTTATACATGGTGTTCATAATAAACGTTTCACGATTCCCATGGCTATTTTTTTGTCGAATGATATATTTGTTGTCGTTTATTATCTTTTACTGAACGACGCGATAATTTGAAACTTATTCCATCATTTTACGGGTACCTTTATTATGACTATAGGTACTACTTGAATAACAATGAAGTAAATAAATTTATGAATAATTAAGGAAAACAAAACTCGTTCGTCTGTAAGTATTTCTCGAGAAATAAATAATTGTAAGACATTATCAAGTAATCGACCCAGGAGATCGATCTAGTCGAGATATAACTTCAACTTTATGGTTTCGCGGATACTATTATGCACGATGTGTCCCTGGAGATTGTGATGTGGATGTGTGAAATGGAAACCTTGGAACAGCGGATTTACGCGAGAAACCCTTGGTCGCCTGGCTTTGCTCCTTCTCCCTTTATGTTATATTCACGATTAATTTATAAGCGATGCCATTAATCTAGTTTAATCGTTATAATCTGGATATGTATATCAAAATCAGTTTAAGCACAAGTATTGCGTTAAAGTTTAAATTAAATTGTCTTACGTTATTTTACTCTAAAGATTTTTATGTTGCAATAGATAATAACAAAATATTAAAACATTATTAAGTATTTGAGTGCCGAAACTGATGATAAAAAAATGTGTGCGAAGAATACAAAGCAGCGCGTTCGTATTTCTCCTGTTCCACGTCGAAAAGTATTGATGTTATTTACTTTAAATAAATTGAAAACATTTTGATCATAAAGCCTAATTAAACTCTGAGAATTGCGGTAGAAGCAGAGCGCGTTATCAAGTTTGTCGCGACATTCGTCGGCACTTTTCGGCGTGAAAAGTGAGCGGCGCGAACGCAAGCGATTAATTTGAAAAATTACTTGGTTGCTGCGTCCCCCGCCTCGAGTGATTTTCTATCGCTGTGCTTCATCTTGAAAAATTACACGTAGGTGCCTCTGGAAGATCTTCAAAGGGCCTCCAAGATGCTGGTGCAGGCGTTGGCGATCCGCGAAAAGTACATGAACAACTCCAAGCAGAGCTTCCCCACTATTACTTCTAGATTCTTGCGTAGTATCGATAAGCGGCCACTCACCACAGACGACGAAGTTCACCACGATGACCGCAAGTGCATCGAAGGTAGCTATCGTTGATTTGAGAAACGTGTCTCAAAATTGTACGTTGTAAATCCAATCCGACTTTCCATACTCGTCCCGACGTCCTTCCCTCGTGCCGTTATATATCAAGGAAACGCGTGTAATCTTACGAAATACTCCAGTGCAATCAACGCAATTAACATCAACGTTTTAACGCTTCAAGCGCCGATGGCAATAACAACGTCAAGCTATCCGTTCATGTGCTGTGTAGTTTTTCTTCTTTTTCTTTTTCGTCGGTCGCAGCGTGTATAATCGTGCGACTTCTCGTACGGAGCTTTATATAAAGCACGGCTTTAGTTTAGTGTGCCAAGCACCACACGCTCTTAGCGTATGAGTTAATGAAGAGTATACGATGCCAGTTTTATTACATATTTCCTAAGGGAAAGAGCTGCTGGATATTGTGAAAGAAATCAAGGGCGCTCGTTCCGACGCGGACATCGACGCGCTGATCAAAGACGTCTCTCGGACAGGTCTTCCTAATACCTATTAATATCCTTACCTTGAATTTCCTGTTGCACGCTGTTTTGAGTCACGTACTAGCTACTACTTAACCATAGAGTCTCTTAACCACGTGCGAGACAGTCATTATCTCGGAATAGATGAAACAGCGCTGCGGCAACAGACGGTTGGCGCGCTAAACGATGCCTCGCTAACGTGCGCCTTGATCAATTATCAACAGATCACCCAGTACATGCGCCTGCTTCCCGGGGCGATCCGTGGAAATGCGAATTTCCACCGGCAAAGAATTACAAGATCGTACCGGTCAACGGCGTGTTCAACCTGTTTGCCAGTGACGAGGACCTGGCTAACGGCAAGCCGCTCCCGTATTCGTACCCAGACATGGCGGCCTTCATCCAGGGCATGAACCTCCTGTGCGCCATGATCGCCGACGGGCCTTTGAAATCCTTCTGTTACCGAAGATTGAGTTATCTCTCCTCCAAGTTTCAGTTACACGTGCTGCTGAACGAGCTCAGAGAACTGGCGAGTCAGAAGGCCGTGCCGCACAGGGACTTCTACAACATCAGGAAGGTCTGTACGCAAACAATTCGCAAGTGTATTGGGACCGTAATTTCTAAGATCAATATTTGTTGTAGAGGTAGAAACGGGATAATGAAATTTTTTAAGCGGGAAATTAAAGAATATTTTTAGACCTCTTGTTACCTCAAGTGGACTCTTTTCGCTTGTACATCAACGACGCGTGTGATTGAGTTGCGTTATTATACGATTGAATTCATTGCAGGTCGATACTCACATACATGCGGCTTCATGCATGAATCAAAAGCACCTGCTCAGATTCATCAAGAAAACGTTGAAGAATCACGCCTCTGAAGTGGTCACTTGTTCCAAAACTGGCGAGACCATGACACTCCGCGAAGTTTTTCAGTCCATGAGTCTGACGACTTACGATCTGAGCGTCGACATGTTGGATGTGCACGCGGTAAGTATATCTTTCCGAATGAGATGCTTATATACCAGGATATCGAAGAAGTCTCCCAAAAAGTATTGCGCGCTACCTTTCCTTCTTCTCGCAGGACAGAAATACGTTTCACAGATTCGACAAGTTCAACGCGAAGTACAATCCTATCGGCGAGAGCCGCTTGCGTGAAGTTTTCCTCAAGACCGATAACTACCTGAACGGCAAGTATTTTGCACGAATAATCAAGGAGGTCGCGAGCGATCTTGAGGAGTCGAAATATCAGAACGCGGAGCTACGCCTGTCTATCTACGGCAAGGGTCCAGAAGAATGGGATAAACTAGCTACGTGGGCGATCGAGAGCGATGTCGCTTCAGATAACGTACGCTGGCTCATACAGATCCCTAGATTATAGTAAGTCTGTTATATCGCACGCGCGACACTTGACGGTTTGACCAATTTCTCATTGTTTGCATTTTACATTGCACAGCGATATCTTTAAGCTGAACAAACTCATGACGAACTTCCAAGAAATTATCAACAACATTTTTCTGCCGCTCTTCGAAGTGACCAACGATCCCAATTCGCATCCGGAATTACATAAATTTCTCAAATACGTACGTTTTCCTATCTTATGCTCATCAGTTTTTCTTACTGTCATTGTACTTTTCTAAATGCTTTACACTCGCTGTATTATTGCCATAGGTAATAGGTTTCGACTCCGTGGACGATGAAAGTAAGCCGGAAAATCCTCTCTTCGATAAAGACGTTTATCCACCCGCAGAATGGGACGACATAGAGAACCCGCCATACGGATATTATCAATATTATACTTACGCAAATATGACAGTCCTCAATCACTTTCGAGCGTACGTTTATTAAGTTTTTTCTATTTTATTTTGAGTAATCATCTCATTACACCCGAGACGTAAAATCTCTTACAGGGAACAAGGCTTGAATACATTTGTCCTGAGACCTCATTGCGGCGAGGCAGGACCCATACAACATCTTGTGTGCGGCTACATGATGGCAGAGAACATTTCGCACGGCTTACTACTCAGAAAAGTTCCCGTGCTCCAGTACTTGTATTACCTGGCGCAAATCGGCATCGCGATGTCGCCGCTCAGTAACAACTCGCTTTTCCTGAACTATCACCGTAATCCACTTCCAGAATACCTTGCTAGAGGACTATGTGTAAGCTTGTCCACGGATGATCCTCTCCAGTTTCATTTTACCAAGGTAAATGAGAAACTATCATACACTGTGGATAATATAATAATACGCTATCTTTTTTTATAATTTGGAAAACTCGTTAATATATTAAGATTATTATTGCTATATCTACTGTATCTTACGATTTATATATTGATGTGGTTTAATATATTAACTTTAGGAACCTCTGATGGAAGAATATAGTATTGCTGCGCAAGTGTGGAAACTCAGTTCGTGTGACATGTGCGAGTTAGCACGCAACTCCGTTCTTATGAGTGGCTTTCCGCATAAGGTGAGTAATTATATCAGCTCTCCGGTCTTCCATTGTACATAAAGGGCAACTAAGGGATCGGACTGACGCCGCTTTACAAGCTTGTCTTATTATAGTGATAATACATCTTTCGATTTTGTATCTGTACACTTGCTTCATTCATGAACGTGACGGAATGTCATACGATCCTATTGTTTTCCATTTTGCAGAGTAAGCAGTACTGGTTAGGACCTAATTATACGAAGGAAGGAGTCGCTGGCAACGATATCACTCGAACGAACGTACCGGACATACGAGTGGCCTATCGATATGAAACCTTGGTTGACGAACTGTCCAATATCTTCAAGGTCGTGGAGAAACCCGAGTCACTTCCATTTTAATAATCAATTATTTGGATTTTATCAAAACCGATGGGTTGATTAACGTGAAAATGATGTTCAATGATGGACAAATTATGATTATACGTGCGATTTATTCTTGGGATTTCTGATTTTTTATATAGAACGTTTTTTTGGAACATTACGAATTCAGAAGTAGATTATTTTTTCTTTTTATATAATTGTCAGGCTTCTTCTCTCGACACATAAAAAAATAACTCGAGGGTAGAACTTGAACAACATTGATCGAATTTATGTTTTATTGTTAGATGATATTTAGTATAGTATGAAATAATATTAAGTATGTATTTTATATCACAGATTTTCCACATAAAAACATGTGCTTGAGATCGTAATCTGTATCGGATGACATGAAGAAATGTGAGACCATGATGATTACACATAGGTAAAGGATCAATGCGATTTCACAAGGCCTTTACAATGTTATATTAAATTATGGAGTCAGTTTCTAAATTAATTTCGTAATTTAATATGAAAATTGATATTTGTTATTGGGACAAATTGTATGAATTTTACGTATGTATTGATCATTCTTCTTGCATCTTTTTTTGAAGACTTTAATCGCAAGAATAAATCAGAAATTATACATATACGTTGACCAATTTAATAGTAGTTTTAAGAAGATATTTCTTTTATCGTTGCAACATTTATAATACACAATAGCGCATATTGTAATATGAACTAGATTAGAACCGAATATTACGTTCATTTACCTTGACGTTGAACTCGTGATAAGATAAATCCGTTTTTCATATCTCGGCTGTGCACGGCGACAGCAGCGTACTCCTTTCTTGGATTTTAGCTTTATTTTCTTACATTTTTGTACATTTATATCGTAATCGAGTACGACATTTGTTTCGACGAGCATTCAAATAGCTGGCTCGTACATGCGGATAGTTAACTCGTGCCATTGTACATCCTTTTTTTCACAAATAGATAATGTAAATAGGAAATTAATTTAAATGTAACTAAAATATTTTACGAAGCTACATGCGTGCCAAGATATGACGCGGCGACACAAACATCATTTCTCGTTATTTTAATGTTGTGGCTACTTTAATCGTTTCTTTTTGCGTCTGCCATTTTCCGAGAGAACTTTCCGAACAACGAGCCTAAGGAATTTAAATTAAGCGATATACGATCATCTATAACACTCGAACACTGTGCCCTGATATCGAATTTAAATTAAATTGTTGCTAGATAGAAAGATATATATTTATTGTAAAAAAATATATATACTATACAACGGAAATATACTTGCATCGTTAAAACCGAACTTGCGAAAGCATTGATTAAACCAATAGCCCAATTCATATGCGAGCGTTAATAAACTGATCCATCAGGTACATAGCGATTGAAAGAGAGAATACCACCCCCTTTTTTTATTCATCAAATTAAATTATGAATATATAATTGATGTAGTGAAATTACATTTCGAAAACCACTCGCTGTTATTTCACCAAAGCATAAAATTCATATAAAACTATAGACGGGCACTGATTATTTTCACGTCACATTTGTCCGAGAATTTCTCTTACATGTCGAAGTGACACAATCACTATAAAATGCCTCGAACAATACGCAATTATATAGGCGATAGAAATATGATTATTTGCCTTGCCTTATTCGTTAAGTTAATGCACCTATTCCGTCTTCTTCGTCTTAGGTACCCGCCGTAAGCTTTGCGTAATCTTTGGTATCACTTCCGTAAAAATAATTGTACCTATGAAGACTAGTATCGTCCCAACCCAGTGATATATAGTAAACGGGTTCTTGAAATAGACTATAGAGAATAACAATGACAGGAACTTTCGCAGCGTTATTACCAGAGTAACGGTGAGGGAGCTGCATTCCGTAGTTAACACGAATACAGAGCTGATGCACATGTATCTGGGAGTATCGTCAAGGAAAATACCTCGGTGATGTGTTAGTACACACGTTCGAACGCCACGTCGGTGTGCGGGTGCGCGCGTACACACGTGCTTACGCATTACAATACAGCTATTTAGAAAAAGGATACTGCGTCAGAATGTTTCCAATCAAATACACGATTAACGTTGGCATATGTACACCGATCAGAGGCAACCTCAGTGGCTCGGACGCGAGCGCAAAGTTCCAGTGATCGTAAATGTTAGGCGCTAGCGTTAGGAAGAACGGCAAGGGTAACAAGTGCTGTAAAGAGTTTTTCGATTATAACCGTCGATCACGTTGATATTTTAACGCAGGAAGAAACGAGGGAAGAGACTCACTGTGTAGTACAAGGCCTCCCGCGCGTTCTTGCCATACCGGCTGTGCAGCACCTCCTGATAAATTCCCATCCTGGCGGAAACGAATAGAGCAATCGTGAGCAGGGATATGCCCAAGATCCACCAGAAGAAGTCGTCCCACGGCGTCGTGGCCACCTGCACATTCTTCTGCTGCAAGGACTTAATCTCCTTGCCGCTAACGATCGTGCAGAGTGCTATCCCCGAGGTGATCATAAATACCGATAAATATTTGCTAAACATGTACTTCTTGTTTAAAATGATAATACCCATTATCATGTTGGCTATTAGAGAGCCCTGAAACAATACAACGGTACGGTATAGCAACGGAAATTTATATCTGCTATCAGAAGGAACCGCACGGGCTACTCACGGCTCTAAATATCATGTGCAGCGGCATAGGGATATTAAAGTCAAACGCATAATTATTGCACACATTGGCGATAAAAAACATTGTGACCAAAATAAAGTGGTCCTTTATGCCGATGTTTGGCTTGACGGTGCCGCATTTGGACGTGAACAGGAACCCCTCGATGGATATGAAAAGAAACTGCGAGAACGTGATGAGATTTCCGCTGCCAGGATCATCTCTGAAAAATCGAGGCGATCAGGAACAAGTGTCTTCTATCGTTTACCCCTTATTTTCATTTCGCAACGATTGTTATTTTATTAAATTGATAAAGGTATTAACGACGCTCACCGCGAGGTAGCGGTAACGTTTTCGAATAAAGTACCACGAGCGGCGGGCAAGCGCTTCGCCATCAATATCTGTTTCCGTAGGTGCAGATTAATTTTAGTCGCGGTTTCATTTCTCTGGTGAAAATTTTTCCTCAGAATTGTTAATTTAGTTTTACAACAAATTTATAATGAAGCAAAAATAAGTGAAAAATTTTTTCAATGATTTTATAATTTTTTTCCACAAAATGTTGAGATTATTTTAAATACAAATTGGAACATCTCTCAGAAGTACCGAGAAAGTTTGTATCTGGAATTTTTTATATGCATGAATTCTGAAATATTCTGAAATTTCTCATTCTATAATTTCAAACATTTGTACCTTAGAATATTCACGTAATGTGAAAGTCTAAGAAAGAAAGTGGACTTCTTCTCAGTATTTCTGAAAAGTGTGCCAATTCATGTAAAAATTCTGAGGAAAAATTTTCACCAGCGTCACCACTTGTCCGTTTTCCAACTCGCAGAATTAGAAAGAGATAGAAGAGCAGGTTGAACAGAGAGTCAATCTACATCGGTAGAAGCGAATACAGCGAGTCGCATGACATTGTCGCATGACATTACGAAGGTCGAGGTATCAATAAAAGTACCGATAAGGTGTTCTTTTATTCTGGACGGTGTAAAGGTTCATTCTACAATTGCGTAAACGTGGTTGTTATCGGTTGTACAGTGTTGTAAAACACAGTTTTAAACTAGCATCTCCGATTGCAAAGCCTGTTGTAAAAGATGGCTGAACTTGATCTTTCACGACTACAACGATGTAGGACGTAAAAGCTAACCAATCATTCACTTTAATTACGACGTATCTCACTTTATTGTATATTACTTTGATGTACAACACATACTACTACTTCTACTCCTACAACCCTACAACTACGTTTACGCAATTGTAGAATGGCCTTAAAGGCCGGTCTACAATACATGGAGTAAGCTGGAGTAAGGAGTAGGAGTAAGGAAATAAATCCATTTTATATCTTACTCCTACTTCAGCTCTTAGGCTTACTCTCAGTGAAACAAAATGCCATCAATCAGTGTTACAAATATTTTAAAAATTATGCCCGTATTTCAGCTTCCTTACACCAAAAGCTAGAAGTTAAGGGCTCTCCCTTACTCCTTACTCCACGTATTGTAGACCAGCGCTAAAGGCCATTTTACAATTGCGTAAACGTGGTTGTAGGAGTAGAAGTAGTAGTAAGTGTTGTACATCAAAGTAATATACAATAGAGTGAGATACGTCGTAATTGAAACGAATGATTAGTTAGCTTTTACGTCCTATGTCGTTGTAGTCGTGGAAGATCAAGTTCAGCCATCTTTTACAACAGGCTTTACAATCGGAAATGCTAGTTTAAAACTGTGTTTTACAACACTGTACAACCGCTAACAACCACGTTTACGCAATTGTAGAATAGCCTTAGGCCCGGTCTACAATGGCTGCGTTCGGCAGGAAAAGCTGCTTTGCAACTGTTGTAAAATTCGTGAATCTGATTGGTGTGTTCTCTCAATCTTGTGTGAATTTAAGAGCATACGTCAATCAGATTCATGAATTTTACAACAGTTGCAAAGCAGCTTTTTCTGCCGAACGTAGCCATTGAGTCGTTAGTCGTTAAGGCCATTCTACAATTGCGTAAACGTAGTTGTAGGGTTGTAGGAGTAGAAGTAGTAGTAAGTGTTGTACATCAAAGTAATATACAATAGAGTGAGATACGTCGTAATTGAAATGAATGATTAGTTAGCTTTTACGTCCTATATCGTTGTAGTCGTGGAAGATCAAGTTCAGCCATCTTTTACAACAGGCTTTACAATCGGAAATGCTAGTTTAAAACTGTGTTTTACAACACTGTACAACCGCTAACAACCACGTTTACGCAATTGTAGAATAGCCTTTAGTCAGAAGTCGCAACTATATGTTGATCCTTTTCCTTTCTGGGTGGAAGAAAAAGGACCGACATACAGTTCCGACTTCTGACTAACGACTAACAACTCATTGTAGACCGGGCCTTAACACAGCGCGGGCGGCGTTATGCAACACGGCAGGTCGGCCGAGTCATCGGATACCCACTTGACGAGTAGTTCCAGAAACACGACGTTTGTGCAGCAACCGAGGAAGACGCAGAACACCGCGACAGCCGCCCGCATCGTGCTTCAGATCCTGCCTCCACTTGCTCCCTTGTCGATCGAGATCACGGAGTCTCGCGGTCTAACCTAAGAAATCGACCCTTCTACGCGCGTTACGCGATCCATCGGCGCACTGGCCGCTCCGTCGACTCCGTGCAGTCCGTGCGCCTGACGGCCGACGCGCGGGCGAGAGTTTATCAGCGATTCAGTAATGCGATGTATCGCGCGGTAAAACTACGCGCGCGTATACCACGTGCACACGTATGTCGCGGACGTCACGAATCGCGATGCCCTTCGACTCGTCAGTTTTGGCGCCTTTCCGGAGCATGCGCGTCGCGGTCGTGTCCGGACCATAGAGCTATTACAGATAGAGGGAGGGAGTCAACGAAGGACGCGATATAGCTGTAGAAAGAGAACGCTGCAATAGAGGCCGGTGTGTCATTGTCTCATAGCGCATGCGTATTAGGTACTGCGTGCGCCTAACTGCACTAGTTCAGAGTGTATCTTTCTCTTTCCACATGCTTTTATAAGAAAGAAAGAGACACACTCTGCCTACAAGCGCACATGTTACGCGCATGCGCGTGACTGTTAGACAGTGACACACCGGCCTCTATTGCAACGTTCTCTTTTTATCCCACTATCGCATGCGCTTACACGTTGTCCCATACCTACTTCCCTCTATCTGTAATAGCTCTATGGTCCGGACACCTGGGTGCTCCATAGACGTTGTAAATATAAGGCCTGTTCTTTATTACTGCACTACTGAACTAGTGCAATAAGTTAAAATGAAACAAATAGATTACCTCTCATTCCAACTCATTGCACCAGTGTGCACTAGTTCAGGAGTGCAGCAATAAAAAACAGACCCTTTGACTGAGCGTCCCTTTAATTATTATTATTAAGTTTCTGGCTCCTGGCTCCATCTGGGCGTCCCTTTAAATAAGCTGAAGTTGTGGAGAGAGAGAGAGAGAAAATTTAAGAAGACTCTTTCTCTCTGTTACATACGCGCCAAATTTAAAATTGGCTTTATAAAATTGCAAAATCTTTCCACGCGATTAAAGTACGCAAAGACCAAACCAGGGATGGTCTGCTTTATGTAAAAAACGAACGGCAATTAAAAGTATCACTTTTCAAGAGAAAATTGATAGCTTTTTCGATATTTAGCTTATGATGTCTCGATAACTGTTTGTCGGAGGGGAAAGTAGTACGGGACTTTTTTCACTTGATTTGATCTTAGGAATATGCTGTTGCAATAGTGCTCCAATTATTGAAACTTCTTGTATATTGTAACATACACAAAATTTCCATGCACCATACACAAGTATACAGAACTGTGTAGAATTGTATACAATTATATAGAAATATACTATGTAAAAATGTGTATGGACATACTTGACGTACATTTTATATAATTCTATATATTTATTCATGTTCATGCATAAAAAAATTTTTAGCGGATTTTATCGATAAAAGAGGATTCAGAATATGGATCGTTGTCTTGGAATCACAAATAAGTTGTTATCGTTGCATGGAGTTTCCGTTTCCTCGGTGCGGCCATGTTAAATTATAGCGATGAGAAATCATGTATGATTTTGTCCCCTCGCATTCATGAATTTTTTATTTCTTGATTTGCGAATCGGCAAAATTTATTAGATTTTAATTCGCTCGGTGTAAACTAGGTCACTATATTCCGTGTATCAGAGACGTATATCATATAAAAAAAATTAGAATTATCGCAGCAATAATTCACAGGCAAATACCTTAATACTATTAAGAAATAATCTCGCTAAGCTTGTCTTTACAAACTACAGATCTTAACGCATTGCTAACACCTGGAAATTATTTAATGAACAGATAGAGAGACAAATATAAATAAATAATATGTTGTAATAACAGTATATAATATTGTATAATAGTAAATCATTAATAATGTTGTTATTGCGTACTACTTATTTTTATTTCTCAGATACATCAATAAAGAAGCTACATTAACACTGACACACATTTCTTTGGCATATTCAACTCTATTATATGTAAAACTGCGAAATTATTATTTTTGTAAAATTGAAGAAATAATTACAATTGAAGACTCGATGAACTGAGTACGTTGAATGAATAGAGTATGTTTGAAGAGACTTTTTTAAAAAGAATTCAAAGTAGATATAATGTTAATTATTTAAAGGTTTATTAAATTAATAAATTTGCGACACTCTCATCATTATTTAAAATTGAATACTTCAGAATTTCAAAAAATTTTCAACTAAAATTTTTAAATTTAAAGTAAGCTTTTTAAAGATTTATGACGTAAGTATATAATATACAGTTCATTATATTATAATATAAATACATGTTTGTATTGAAATAACAAAATGAGTCAGTCGATCAGACAAAACACGTAATTGCAATGTATAAGAAAATTACAACTTGCAATATGCAATTGTGTATTTTTATGTGTTATTTTAAAATTTAACGCATTGTTTTGCATATTAAAATATTAATATTCTACCAATCGGTGGAGCAAATTTACTTGTTTTGCGATCCACTGGGCGATTAACATAAATTGATTTATCTATTTTGCACTACGCCACACTTTTCTTAATTAATTAAAAAAACGGTATTAAAAGAAGGAGAAAGGGAATTAATCTTCAAGGGAAAAAATTATGCTCAGTGCTCACAATTAGTTAGGCATAATTTGAACAGTGTTAAAACACTCGAGAATAAATTAAGTCTATGAAGGATTATTTTGTACGCGTTGTGTGTGTTGCAGTGACATACAGGTCAGTACGACGGATTGTTTATTTGTGCAAGTGCACATGGTCATTCATAACTTCGGCAACAGTTATCGCTCGATATAATCCACCAAAATCTACGCAGTTGTGAACGACCATGCGCGCCTGCGTGAATAGGCAACCAGTCTTTCTGACCCATATATCGTTGCAACACCCTGTACACTAATCGGATTCTTTAAACGTAAGTAGTCACGAGCGACTAATTAACTAAAGAAAATATTGAACGCTTGGCTGTATTGTTACTGCGCGAATTTATTGTAGAGCAAACGAGTAAGGAGAGTAGAGGAAGAAAATACGAGGAGGGGGCATGCGTCGGCGCAGTTGTTTGGGGCAACAAAGCTGAGAAATCAATAAGAACGCGGCTGTTTTGCAGTTGCAGACTTAAGCCAACGGCACACGATTCTCCTGCTGGATTGTGAGCAAGAGCCAATGAGGATGCAGTGTTTTGAATCAGGTGACTTGAGGCTAAATTCTGATTGGCTCTCTTGAGCCGGAAAGTCCAGGAAGAAAAATAGCATCGTGTGCCATTGGCTTTACATCCGGAGTTTAGTTTCGTCTCTTTGTTCATGCGTTACTCGTTAAAGCGAGAAAGTGTGAGACACGTTGCTCCTTCATGGAAACATCAAGTGGCAAGTGATGTTCAATCAAGGCGACAGTTTATAATGCTTTTTATTTTCAACTGTCATTCGCATTTGTTTATGCACATGCACGAACAATATGAATAATAAAAATTGCTCTTTAATTTGCTTGTTGCACATGCATTAATTTCTCCTCACGAGCTTTTAAATGCAATTAATCGAATTAAGGGAAATGCACAAAAAGCATCTGCAAAATAAAATATTACTGTTAATTACGTTGCGCTTGCCGAGCCTACGCGTGTCGCATTTGCATGCGACCACGCCCTTGTACTCTAGGGTCGCAGAAGAAATTGCCTAACAGTCCAACACGAGGTTTAAAAGTGAATTCAACTACGTTTCTTTAGTGAAAAATTAGAACAGTGTAACGTAAGCGTCTGAACGTAGTGACAGCTCCGAAACAAATCCGATATCGATTTTCCGATCGATAGGCTCGTCGTTAAGGACACGGATCGATTCCGGGCCGTCTCAGCGCGGGCGTAACAATATTGACAGTAGTATCTTTATTAAGAGTGGCACTTAAGCGCCATATTCCATTACACAATGTAATGCAGAAATACATATGTGATTGCAGCATACACATAATAATTACTTTATATGTAGAGCATCGTGTCATGTACAAATATACCTAAAGTGCTTAAATCGATTATGTTAAAATTAACAATTAAAGTTGAAATTAAATTAAAAAATGATTTGTGTAAGATCGACTCATTTTTCCCGGTAAAAAAGTCTTTATGCATGAGCATTCATAAATATATAGTATTATATAAAATTATACATCAAGTGTGTCCATACATATTTTTACATTGTATATTTCTATGTAATTTTATGCAATTCTACACAGTTCTATATATTTTTAAATAGATTTATACATGCTTTTATATAAAATATTTGTGAAAGAGAAAGAATTGCTTACTATATACAATGACTTTGTACATACAATTGTACACAATTATATAATTATAAATAAGTAATTTTTCACATTAAAAATTTTTCATATAAAAGCATGTATAAATCTATAAAATTATACAGAAGTGTGTGGAATTGTATAAAATTAAATAGAAACTACAATGTAAAAATATGGATGGACATATTTAATGTATATTTTTATATGATTGTATATATTTATTCATGTTCGTGCATAAACATTTTTTTACTGGGTTATCTTTGGTAAAAATTATTGTAACATCTCTTTTTAGCTTATTTAACAGAGTTGGGAAAGTTACTTTATAAAAGTGTCTAGTTACAGTGTTTGTCGCTAAAAATGTAACTAGTTACAGTTTCAAGTTATCAATTTTCAAAAGTAACACGTTACAGTTACAATTAGTCAAAAAGTAACGAGTCGTTACTTTACAGTTACTTTCTTGCAATGAAAATAAAAATATCAAATCTGCATTTTAAATGTAAAGCATTGATAAAGGCGTTTATGCGCAAATGCAAGGCCTAACGCGATCTGTAGAAGTTTAAAAAATATATAAAGTAACTATTAAATTAGTCACTAGTTATAAAACAAATGTAACTGAGTTAAGTTACAGTTAAAGACAGAGAGAAAGTAACGAAGTTAAGTTAGAGTTTCCAAAAAAAGTAACTGCAGTAACTGTAACTGTAATTATAACATCGTTACAAGTAACGAGTTATTTCCCAACCTTGATATTTTAATATATACATAGTCTATACTGAAAAATTGGATCGAAATAAATTCCTAAAATAACGCAACAAAATGTGAGCTTTTATTCCCGTCTTTTTCAAACATTGAAATTTCATCGCCATGTCATTTATCGATACTTCTGTTCCCTTAGATGACGAGAGAGTGAATACATGCAAAATGAATTCGTGCGCGCTATACTTTTCCCAACTGCGGGGGATGCTCATGAGGAATTTCCTGT